TGCTTGGGAAAAGAGCATGCGGATGAAATTGTACACTGTTTTTGTGCGCGCATGCATCATTTAGAGAGTATACCTTGGTATCATTTGCGTAAAACTGCGAATAATATTTATCAAGTAACTCGAAAAATTTCGCACACTTTACAATCGAAGCGATATCAGTGGTGGTCCAAATCCGTGAGATATCGAAAGACAATTCTCGTAAAAATAGAAGAGGGAAAAGTATTACTTCGCCATCGGCGAAACAGAGTGCCTTCTTTTCGTCGCAAACTTTTGTTTCTCGATAAATATTTAACATCGTCGTAAAGTCCCCGTGATTGACATTACTAAACTATACGCGATAAATTATACGTAACGCTCCCTAGGACGTTATATAAATCGTTGCGGTAGACGACGTATATCCCCTGCGGATCTTCACGAAAATATAGAGCATTCTCCATCGTAACGGTCGTTGCTCCGAGAAGAGAGTTGCCGAATTAAACTCGAAATTACACTAAACAACGATTGCAACTGGCAGGAATAAAACGTTCGCATCACGCTCGGCTGAATAGAATATCGTCAATCCAATATCAGAATGCCCGCGTTAATCATTCAACCGATACGTACCTAGAGATATTCCTCCGGAACACGAAACTCGATCTACAAATTAGATCGAGGAAACATATATGTGCACGCTAGTCATTGCATAAACGCAGTAACGTACAGTGTCATAAGTGAGAAAATAATACTTATTTTTTTAGATAACCTTATAATCAATGTTAATAATTGCATGATTGATTACTTTGATTAAATTATTTCCATCAATTTTATTTATATAATTTTAATTATTTGTTTTAATATATAAATATATACGCATGTCTTTTCAAATTTTTTTAACATCTTTAACAAGATATAAAAAAATCTTTCTAAATTCTAACCCGCGCAATAATCTTGTGATGCAATTTTATCACACATATCATATTTTAAAAAAATTTTTTGATATAAAGTTATATATTAAATTCTATTTATTGTAATGTGAAAATGTGGTTACATAATTATTTAATTAAAATAATCAATCACGCAATTTATTAAAAATGTCTCTAATACGAAACAAGAATTATTTTCCTCCAAATCATTCGCTTGTCGCACTCGTATGCAACGGTCAGATCGTGATGCGGGAACGCGGATGACATCCCGCATACGGATTAATTCGGCGTTTTTACATCAGCATCGAGAATCGTCATAAAAGCAAGTTGCAGGTGCAAAGAGGAGAAACGGAGGAGAGTGAACCGACGGCGGTGGCGCCGATGGTTGAACGTGTGCCGGTGCATCGAGAGGGATCAATGAACAAGTTCAATAACCTTAAATCCACTTGTGACGGCGGACTACCCCATCGGGTACGACTGACTGCATCGCTCTTCAACAACCAAAATAGATATTCATTTTCCAAGAGTGCCATTTTCCCAGTCCAGACACAAATCCAATACCGCTGATTTAAGTGCCTCCTCTCACTCTCTCCCCGCTAAGGTCAAAGACCCTATCGGCGCTACCTCGCGCGCATCCCAGTCCGAAACTCACGCATTACGAAAGAGCTAATTACGAGATTCGCGAGAGTCCCATTTATTTGCTTCTTCCGTCTTCAGAGATTCGTTAACGCGACAATCCGCCATCGCGACGAATCGTCGTCAATTATAATCTGTGAGCGTGTTAATATGATCTTTCTATATAGGTCCTTCTCACTTTTAAATCGAAACACACAAGGATGACCTGAAATATTAATTGTAAAGTAGCATTTCTTGGATTCAGGCATTCAAATACGAAAGCTGGTATCGCGAAAATAAAAAAATAAAGCAGGTTGCAAAAGTTGACACCAAATATACTTTTGTGTGGTATGTTTTTATTAAGCGCCGCGTACCCTGTAAATATTCCGAGCATTTTATCGGATGGATGGCATCTTTGCTCTTCAGCGAAAATGTGTGTCTTGAAGACGCATGCCGAAACTTCACGCGACAACTAATGTCACTCTTTCTCGAGCACATGCATACTTTATCTTCTCTAACAGTTTTGCCGTCGCCAAATCTCACGTAAATCAGTATTAAATATGATATTCGCGCGACGAGTCACATAATAATAAACGACGAATTACGTAGTTCGCAAAACGAGAAAATGTAAATTTCACCTTTTTGTTTGCAATTATGGCAAATTAACCGCATAAAGTAGAACAGCGACATTTGCTTATTCCCGCGACAACCGCGACGTAATTGTATTTACACCATGCAGTTTTGTTTTTTTGTTTACCGAACGAATTATTACGTTGTATCGCTAACGAACTCGTTCGTTTTGTAGATCGCAGTATTTTTTTGCGAGAGAGAATTAGAAGATAGTCTAAGAAATTCATACAAGCAAGCTTTTTATCTCTTTTTTTTACTCTTCTACATAAAAATTATCAGTGCTATTATAAATTATAATAATTTACAATTTTAAAGCAATTTTATTTGAAAAATAGGAATTTATAATTCGCAAATATTTTGTGTTAAAGATTAAAAAATTGTGAAATAGATAATTTTCATTCTCACACATATTCAATGAATAAAATTCGCGACTGATATAATCATGTATATCAACGCATATAACGAATACTTATTGTTAGTCTATAATTATATAATCCCTTTCTAAAATTATTTTTCAAGTGGAAGAAAACCACTCACCTTACATATAAATTCGAAGCATGAAGCAGTCCGATTTATAGCACCAAATCGATCACAGAATGCACACGAGAATCCCAGGAACGACTTATATCTGTGTAAAATATACCCGGTTCCACACGCGAATGCAGAGAAAATTAGTTAAAATATAAAACCGGTAAGATTTTCCTACGATTTCTTTTTTTCGTCACGATCGTTCACCATTAAAAGCGATGCGGATATCAATCAGAATTTCGGCACGATCACGGCGAGCATCGCTCGCAAACTGAATATGTTCTCGCGGGGGTGGAAGCATCGAGTAGAAGTGAACCACGGGTGCTGGAGAGGGTAAATGGGGCAAGAGGGGTTGAGAGAATGCGCGCGTAGAAGAGAAACGACGGACGATGAGTGCAAAAGGGGAGCTGGACGGAAGTTGCGAGGGGGATAGGCGACGTTATTGGCGCGTGCACGGATCGCCGAGTTACTTGAACGAATGGTTAAACTTTATGGATCGTCAATAAAAATTTGATGGTTTTTTTACAAATTCTTGGAGTCAAGCTTCCTCGCAACTTCGCTCACATCGTTCATAATAAAATTTCTTGATTAATTTAAAGTCGATTGTTGTATTCTTGACGAGAAAATAACAGGAAATAAAGTTATGTCAAATGATAAAAGATTTAGAAATTTTTTCACGATATTTCAAAAGGCAAAACTTATATCTAATTATCACTTAAAAAGAATTTGTTTTATTATAAATATTAATTAATGAAACTAAATATATTAAAAAATAGTGTCTAGTGAAATTTTTAAAAAATGCATAGCTCCAAATTGGCTAAAGAAAAGAAATGATTTTGCAAAAGGTATTAATTTCTGAAGAAGGAACTATAATAAAACTAGTAGCAAACTAATAACAATCGGGATTATTCAATGTCTTACGCGCAATTCAGAAATTGGGTCACCGGGAAAGAAAGTTTAACTGAACGTCATATGCTATAAATTGACATCGAAAAAAAAAATCTGACATTTTTAGGCCTGGTTCGCTAATTTTTGCTTTCGGCGAAGAACGTGATTCGCTCCTCGGCCATTCAGCCGTCATCCTCCATTAACACGACGAATTTCGGAGGCTTTCAAAGTTCGCGTTACGATCATGAGCGCGACCTATATTAAGGAAACTCGATTCTACAGACACTAAAATCCGTTCTTGGATACTTTCTCCAACGTACATACGATATTTCACTCTCTGGGATTTTCGCGACAATTTGCCATTACTGGCAGCTGTGAGAAATTGCTATGCAATTTAAAGTTATTCCTCTATTACACGTTGATCGTGACTCTTCGTGAAGAAAAATATAGATGCGCTTCGTCTCGCGTAATAAAGTCATCATATTCAGCGCATCGACGAGATAAATTAAACTCTCGTAATACGACCAGAAGAGATGGAAGAGTCATCATCTCGAGCGAAATGATCTCTCGACAATTATTCGCATTTGCTATAATTGCTTCGCGATGAAACGCAGGATATCGCGATCGGACTGATCGGACCTAAAGTTACGTACCATATATTCAACCGAGAATATTTCATAAAACGACACATACCTGGAATTATTCAATATCCGCGGAATCCTTTGAAGTCACCCGCCGAACAGTCGGCTGCTTCTTTAAAGTTCCTCTTCTTCTCGTTCTCTTCTCCTTCATCCTCCTTCATTTATGTGTCTGTCATGTTCCGTTGCTTCCGCAGCTACGCTTCTCCTTCTATCTCGCGAAGTATCTATGACCTCGTCACCCCGACGAAAGGATGCTCCATGAAGGAGAACGCGAATATTTCACGAAAACGTCCCGATTATGGAATAAATTAAGAGTGAGTACATCGTCGGTAATAGCTTCTATTTGCATTTAGAGATGAGATTGCCCTCTCACTCACGTAACGGAGGTTTCCCTCGAGGATCGAATCGAGGAGACAACTTAAAACACTTCCAAGTAACGTGATGCCATCCTGCAACAATATCGATGAAATATAATTTTAGCAAAATTTTAATACAGATATTATAATATAACAAACGTGGATAAAATTAATCTTTTTATCATAACTTAAAAATTGTATCATTTTCACAATGTGTTTATTATAATACATAATAAATGGACAAAATATTTGATAATATATTGAATATATCTCTTTATCTATATCATGAAATTAGTAAAAATATATCGAGATTCACGCATATAAAATATTGCGCATTGTTTTAAATGTCAAATTATATCGAATGCATAATACAATGATATAGATATTCAATTTTGTGTAATAGAAATCACTAAAGTAATATCATAATTCAATATCTCAAGACCACAACCGTATCGCAAAAAGATCAAGCGGACGTTATTGTATCGTATGCAGCCTATTCCTGAGAATAAACCGACCGCATCCACTTCCACAGACACGCGAGCATCTAAGAATAATGTACAGATGCGAGGGAAGTAAGTGTGAATTAACGGTAAGATCAATTCTAACAAACACAACGCTCCGAGTACAATTTTTATCTTAGATAATAACAACCATTATTGTGATGCTACGAGAAGAAAGTTGAACGGGATACGCATCTCTTACAATTAGATCGATGCAGATAACGGACGGGAGAGACGAAGACGAGGAAGACGATGACAATACTTGCTGCAATCGTGCGACCTTTTGCAGCCCGATGTTACGGGAAATCCTCGTAACCGACGTGATATCCGCGTGTTTGGATGTGCAACTAACATGGGCGGATCTCTTCTGGCTGGCGACCATAACCGGCATGACTTTACTGGCCTGGGCTGTTCTGTATTTTCTGCTGGGCGACGTGGTGTTACCAGGTGGCAGCGTTTTCGGTCTTCTGCTTCTCGTCGTTTTCTCCTATATACTTGGCTGGACCCTCACCTACATTCCTCGGTTGCATCTACCGCCCATCTTCGGCATGCTCCTAGCCGGTATAATATTACGCAACACCGACGTCTATAATATACATGACGAACTTGGACCGGGCACAACCTCCAAGATCAGGACCTTCTGTCTGACTTTCATTATGGTACGTGCCGGTCTGCAGCTGACGACGACCGCGTTGAGAGCGCATCCTGTATTCGTGATGATCCTCGCGCTTGTACCATGCACTATCGAGATGCTGACGATCACTGTCTCATGTAGATATCTTCTTGAATTTCCATGGAATTGGTCTTTCATGACAGGGTGAGTGAATTATATCTTATATCATCGCATTGATTAATAGAATTTTTTATAATTATATTGAAAATAATCGCTAGTTCAAATTATTTCATTATTACATATTATTATATTTCCAATTATTATACAATATTATATAATATTATATTTCTCATTATTATACAACATATATTTTCATCAAAAAACATTATTTATTTAATTGAAAATTTTACACAGTGTTAAAAATATTATATTTTTCGATTAGCTAAACTTTTATAACTTCTTAAGATGAAATAAGCTGGAGACTAACGATTATAAAATTCTTACTTTACCGCAAAAATATAAAGAAGATTTATGCAGTAATAAGTTGTCTTTCAAGGACAATCATGGCCTGCATGTCCTCTGGTGTAATGGTCAACTGCATGCTCATTCTAGCTGAACAAGGTTACGGAGAAGATAAAGGTTTCACCAGCTTATTATGCACGGCAGCGTCTATCGACGTCGTCCACATTGTATCTCTGTTTTCCATCTGCTTCTCTTTCGTTTTTAGCAACGGTATAATAGAAATCATAAGACAATCCTAAAGTGTCATAATGATACATAGATCAATTTGCATTTCTTTTTAATCCTTTGAAAGATTTTGCATGTGAAAAAAATTTTGTGACAAAACAAAAATAGAAAAATATGTATTTTATCCTAATTTATATGCAATTATTATTATGCAATCGAGAAGTACTCGTATCCTGTAAATTACGTTTTAAATAATTCACAATTTCCATTGTACATTAAAAGAATATATTAATGATTTGTGATGCTTAGCACCGCAAAAACTGGTAACAAACTGCATAAAAAAGTCTAAACGTACGAAGAAAGCTTTCTGTATAAAGCGAGATATACATCTTCGTAGATGACAGGAGAACAGAATGGTGGTCCTATATCCCCGGCGGGATTCGAGATTTTCTTTTAGGACTTATAGTGGGAATTATCTTGGGTTTTGCCCTGGCCTTTTTCCCTCATCGCAATCACGTAGGTACTTTATTCATTTCCTCGCGTCCAAATGCCCGCGAAATTCGGGTCACGTATCGCGAAAGTACGTTCGTGTAATCTGAACTAACAAGGGTAGACTTATTAACGCCCCCCTTTTCATTATGTTTTATTAAAATATCGCTCTCACCGAGAGAATAAAATTCGAAACAAAATGAGAGTAGTTTACTAGTTTCGTGCAATTTTACAGTAAATAATATTATTATACGTACATATAATTTATTACATGAATACAATTTATATTAATTTATATTAATTTATTATTTATATAATATTTATATTAATTGCTCCAATTTTCCTATTATGTATATCAGAAACACGCAATGTGGTATCGCATCTGTGGTTTGACTCTCGCATCTTTGATGTGCACCACAGCAGCATCGAGACTGGCGATTACAGGTGGAGGATACCTCGCTACCATCATATTATCGTTTATAGCAATTCACGGATGGCGACTCTTGACGGTTTCGTATGATGTAAGTAGTAAATATATAATCAAAAAATTCGAAATTTTCTCATCGTTAAATATCTTGTCAAATATCTTTGTCGATAAAAAAATCTCAAGATTATTTATTCTTATAAAAACCTAAAAAAATGATTTCCCTCATTCCCTTTACATTGCAGACGTCGCCTTTCCATAAAGCGTTTTATTTTTTGTGGCATTTAGTGCAACCGATTTTAGGGGGCGTGATCGGTGCCGATATCGATTTTAGAAACTGGACTAAATCAAGATTCAAACTCTACCTCGGCTGTGTACTCATAGGTATATTCGTGAGTCATCATTTTGATCAAGAAATAATGAATTTTAAAAATACGAGTAGAGAGGAAATGGAGTATATAAATTTATTTTCTTAACACATTATCTGCAATAAAATTTTTGGAATTAATTTTCTCTCGCGTCAATATCGTTTACCATATTACTTATATATGTCTTAAATGCAGATACATGTATATAAATAAATAAATTAATATAAATATAAATTTTATAAATTAATATAAATAATAATATATAAATTTTATATAAATTTTATATGATATAAATTTTAGTTTCCAAATTTAGGTGCGTAGTAGTACCGCCTTTCTAACGACGCTTAGAATGCCTTTTACGTGGAAAGAACGACTTTTCGTCGCTATATCTTGGCTACCGAAGGGAACTTTACAGGTAAGAAAAGAATCATCTGGTTTTCATGATAAATTTATATCGTAATAATATTTTTAACATTGAAATTATCAGTTTAACTTGAATGCCAATGAATGAAAATTAGGCAGCGCTAGCACCGATGGCATTCGAACGCGCTAGAAAGGAGGACGACCCAACGAAAATCGAATTAGCTCTCGATGTAGTAAGGATTTCCGTAATCGCCATAGTACTTCTGGCCCCGCTTGGCACGATCGGCATGATGACTTGCGGCCCCTTTTTCCTCAACAAGATCAGTATCGAGGAACAGCAAAGGGAGCGTGAATTGAGCTATGCGCGTCTGATTGCTTTGCAACCTGTTAGAACGCGAAAGCAAAGAAAGAAACTTGCCAACGATTCTATTAACACTCTTCCGATAGAATCGATACCGTAGGATTAAATGCGAATGATTTATTTAAATATATCGATTTTCTACCTTTTGACAAGGCGCGCTCGCTCCTTCATTTCTTGCGAGAAAATTGTTGGGAGAAGAGACGTTATACTATAATAAAATTTAGTTATAATTTTATTAGTGAAAGTTTATTAGTTTACTAATTAGTTAAAATTTTATTATGCTATAACAATATTTAATTAAACTATAGAATTATTTGAAATAAAAAATAAGAGAGGAAGAGAGAGGGGAATCTTTTTGTGTTATAAAAATATATATCTTTCATATAATAATACATATATATATAAGCCATGTTATGATATTCGAACCTTGATTACTTTCTCTCTCTTTCTTTCTGTCCCTCATCGCATTATTATCGCATGGGAATTTAACAAGACATTCGCTCAGATTCTCGAGTATCATCCTTGCTGTATTTTCCAGGAATATACACACGGCGATATTATCGCGCTGCGGAAATGACTCTGAACGTCTTACGTACCAGGCTGCGCCCGATGAGCTTTAGGCAGGCATCGCTGTTGACGTAAACAAATGCATCAGAGTGTGCGAGACGACAACGACGACGGCGTTGTATTATACACGAGAGTGCATTTGCTTCTGCATTTAAAGCGCGCGCGGGGTTGTTCGGCGTGTCTCCGCGGCGATCATTATATTGGCAAAGTGAAACTGGGGCAGAGCGTCGCTACACGGGCGACGTGATAGGAGCATTGTGCTTATTGTTCGTAAATAGAATCGAGCGAGGCACGTGGCGTGATAACGGAGACGCCGCGATGACGCGTTTCCGCGATGCGTGCTCTAGCGGCTGTTATAGCGGTCCTCCTGTCCCCCTCCCCCTTCCCCACCTCCTCGCCACCACCCCCGGGATGCACCACGATAGAGCAGAAACTGTGTATTTCGAACGACTTCGCGCGACTCGATAATGACGTTTCGCGGTTCGCGAAATGCAATTCTCGCGAAACCATAGAATCGAATTGAAGGATGGAAAATTCATTCCGCGAAATTGTAAATCTTTTATCCCGCGGATATTTTTAACGATGAATGGCCTTTTTTGAACTTTCTGTCGTTTCTTTCGGAACCGCGATTTTTTTTCAAGTACAAAATTAGCAAAAACCGACTGTTTTTATTAACGATTCCCATACCAATTTTTCGGAAAATATTGCGGTTGCAAAATTTATTTTATGGCCTTTTTAATAGAGTACTCCTTAGGTAGCAAGATGGCGTCTAAAGACTCTGACGTCATTAAAATGTTTTTAAGATGATTTGACGTCATTTTGCTACCTGGATCGTTGATACGCAAAATGACGAAATCAGAAAATTATTGCGATATTACCTACCATAGTACATACAAGTATCAGAGAAAGTGCATAATCGATACAATTAATTATAAAACAAGGAAATATATACGTACTTGGCAACGACGATACCATCACTTGCAAGTTGTAATTCAGTGAGATCCATTTCGAGATACTTCGACGGATCTTCGACGGATCTTCGACACCGGAATTACGTTTTCGAGATGCAATATCGATCGTATTATACATTTTACGACGAAAGTCCGACACTTTACCAGACACTTACTTCTCGCACACAATTCCGTTTCACGTAAAACACGTAATAATCGCGAAAAATGCGCGAACCGAGACGCGACGCGTTCGCGATCCGACATTTTCAAGCGCGATACTGCAATTTCGAAATATCTAACCAGCGAACCAATCACAGCGTTGCTCCTACATTCAAACTTCGAGGTTGTGTTCAAAAATTGTCCAAGGTAGTATAGCCTTGATCTACCAATAGAAAGCCGAGGTTTCTTTGTTCTGATTGGTCAGTCAAACGTTGTTTTACCCGATAGGTGAATTTTCGAACGTAATCTTGTACATTTTTAGGCTAGATTTAGACCAAACATCTGTGGGTTTGATACACGTGGAGACGTCTCAAATATATAATAATGGTTCGCAAAAAAAGGTAACACTTTCTAAATGAATTAAATATTAAACCTGATTTAAGAAAGTTAGTACAAAAAATAAATTTCACAAATTATTAGATTTCAACTATAAAATATATAATTTTGCAAATATTTTCAAAATTTATTAGGATAGCTAATTATTTAAGCAATAAATAAAAGAGTAATTTGGATTATCTCTTAAATTTGAAAAATTAATTGTAACTACTTTAGAATCTTTATGCAAATGCTTTAGCTATTTTAATCGTTTCTAAAATATTCATTTTAAAGAATGTTATGAAAGAACTTGTATATCTATATTTGTAAATTTATTTTCTCTCATCGTAGAACAAGAAAGCATCTCAATGATGAAGATGCCAATGATATGGAAGATGATATCGAAGATATAGACATGGATGCTGTAACAGATTCGGAAGAAGAATATACGGAAACTGAAAGAAAACTGCTAGAGAAAGTACGAAAACAACACACCACTGAAAATTTTGATAGCGATGATGAAGTTTATGGATTGCAAGATGAAAATGAGGAAGAGGATCAACAAGATTCAATGGAGTCTGACATTGAAGAATTACAAGAGGATTATGATTTGCCGAATGACAGAGCTTGGGGTAGCAAGGCAAGAACTTTCTATTCATCAGACTTCAAATATACAGATTATGCTGTAGCACCTCAAAAGGATTTAGTTAATGCTGAAATGGAAGAAGAGGAAGGCAAAAAGCTCCATTTAAGATCAATGGAACAGTATTTAGATCTCGATAGCGTGAATATCAACGAAGTTGTACAAACTATAAAAGATAGGAAAAGTGATCAAAAAGACAGTAAACAGGTGTCTGATACGGAATCTTTTATGTTTATGGTCAATAATTTTAAAGGTATGCATACAACATATAATATTTGTGATATACTTTGCTATTTAATTTATTATTAAACAATTGTTATTACTTATGATATAATTATTTGATTGATTATACTGAATTTTTCTCTCTTTGACACACACATTTTGAGCAAAGTTTTTGAATGCAATATATCTTTAGTGTTATAAATGAAAAATATATTTCTTTTTTACATTATTATATAATTATAAAAATAAATTAAAACAATCTTGAGGATATATATGGTATTTAATATATGATTATTTTGCAGATTGTATGACAGAGGCAAAGGATATTTTGGCACCCTTCCTCAAATTAGTTGAAAATGGAACATGTCCTGATTGTGATGCTGTAGCTTTAGTTAGAACTAAATATCATATTTTATTAAATTATTGTGTCAATGTCTCTTTTTTCTTGATGTTAAAAGCTAAAGGTTTGCCAGTAAAAATGCATCCAGTTACAAAGCGTTTGATACAATATCATAAACTGCTTGATCAATTACAATCACAACAGGGAAATTTATTCAAGCAAGTAGAAGAGATAGTTAATGCGGTTAACGAGGGTAAACCTCTTTATCACATATCAGATGGTTCTCGGATACAAATTCAAAAAGATATTCCAAAACAAAGCTTAAAGAAAACAACACATCAGAAAGAAACAATAATAGAACAAGATGAACAAGAAGAATTATTATCAGATAGTATGGAAGAAACAGATTTAGATGAAGAAGAGCCATATGATGATAAAGTTATAGATGATAAAAAGGATAATATTACAAACATGGATCCTACAAAGGAAGAAAAAGAAAAGAGAGCAATAACTTATCAAATGGCAAAGAATAGAGGTCTTACACCGTATCGTAAAAAGGAATTACGCAATCCTCGAGTGAAACACAAAAATAAATATCGTAAAGCACTAATTCGCAGAAAAGGCGCGGTATGTATACATATATATATATATATATATATATATATATATATATATATATAAAATGAGAATTAAAAATTTATTAAACATAAAGAATTTAACATATATTATAATAAATATTTTTTTTTACAGATAAAAGAAGTAAAAAAAGAGTTGACACGTTACGCAGGAGAGATTTCAGGTATCAAAGCTGGTGTAAAAAAGAGCATTAAACTAAAATATTAATTTTTAAAAATTCTAACTTTATATATAAAACAATGGAAACAATATTAATATACTATCATTTGAGTATTAAAAAAAATAAAATCCTATTTGAAATTTATCAATGATAATATATCCAATCAATAATATATTAAATATGTGTGTAGCATGAAAATAAGAATTTTCAGTAATTTCCGAATAGGAAAAAGAAAATGTTTGCTCTTGTAGTCATTCACTTTTAATATAAGATATTAAATATATATATATATATATATATATATATATATATATATATATATATATAATTGTAACGACATAAGTACAGTAGACAAATGCTTTATTTTATCATAAGTTGTATGTACATATAGAATGAGAATGGCGCTTTAGCAGCAACAAAATTTTTTGAAAACTAAAGTTTTTTTATTAGATTAAACAAATAACTTCCAAATAACTTTTATATTACAAAATTTTATATATCTTGCTGCAAATTAGTTCATGAAGTTACGGAACAATTGGTAGCATTTACAAAACTGGGAACGTAATAAAGTCGATGAATAACTTAAACTTCTACTTTGGCTAGTATATCCGATTCGCGGAACAAATGGTACTCTCTGTTATCCTCAAGTTCGACTTTTGTGCCGCCATATTCAGGAAGTAATACAGTGTCTCCAATCTTAATGCTTAAAGGCACATGTTCTCCTTTCTAATAAAAAAAAGAAAATATAATTATTAGTAATTACTGTTTACAGTATAATAAACAGAAATACTTTAAATGAATGTAGGAAATAAGCAATATGTAAATAAGATATTTCATATACATACATCATTCTTCGCTCCAGGCCCTATTGCAATAACTGTGCCTCGCAGGACTTTTGCCTGTGCTTTTTCTGGCAACACAATGCCACCTTTTGTTTTGGTTACAGCCTCTGCTCTTTGTATGAGAACTCTATCAAAAAGAGGAATAAGCCTCTTCACAGCATTGGCAGCAGCCTGAAACATGTGTGCAATTATGTATATATTTTTTCATTATAGTTATATAGTTATATTTTCATTATAGTTTCCTCACTATAGTTTTTAATCTCAATATATTATAAAATATTCTTAGAAATGATAACTAAAATATTCTTAGAAATGATAACTAAAATATTCTTAGAAATGATAACATACTTTTCACGATTCGTCTCATTAATCATAAATCTTTCGGCATTTAATGTAAAAATTTGACGGAAAAAAGACGAAAATATGGATAATGATGCAAGCGCCTAACAAAATTTCGTAAAATACCTGCAATTCTTGCATATTTAGCTATTTTTTCCTTTATCAGACATTAAATTACTATGCAAAAATGTAATCGCAGTCGAGGGACCAACTCGTCTATCTCGACATAAAATTCATAAACAAATGGCAATTCGTTTGAAAGCAATAGGCACAGGCAAAAGGACAGTAAGTGATGTTCCGAAATGTCTCTTTACTTTAAGAATTAAGGATGCGACTCGAGTAAAAAGCATCGTGGACGCTAAGAAGGGTTATAAGGAGAATAAGAGGAATGATGTTTCGCTGATTTGCGGAAAAAATACAAAAATTGTCGCTATCGTTTCTCATGCTTCATTTATATGGGATTTCTCACCATCGCAATTTCTCTGGCAATCACAAGAGTAATCGATCAAAGCCGGACGAACGCACGCTTTCGGGCACGTTGTGTAACCTAAACTGCGACCGGCACACGGAGTAAAATGTAGAATAGGATAATTCTCGAAGCTTCCCCTCCACGAAGATTCCTCTGAGTTCCACCATGCGCCACCCGGTATCTCGCGTATTCGATCGTCTCTTATCGCAGTTGTGAAACAAGTGATTACGTAATCCGTCGTAAAATTTCAAGATTTACTCCAATTTTTCAGATCTTTCAACTTTAAACAAGGGATATATCTATTTATTTATTTATCCTCTCTCTTTAATTCTCTTTCGATGCCCGGCTCGAACTTGACGCTAAAAATCGTCATTACCGACGAGATTTATTATCTACAAATATCAATGCAAATGATGCAATAATTAATAAATTTTTTCAGAGAAGGCGAGCTGTCAATCATCTTTGCATCGATAATTGCCCTGTCATAGTTTACGACGAGACAGAAGAGAGATAACGATAAAATAAAATAAAATCTTATGAGAGAGAGAGAGAGAGAGAGAGAGAGAGAGAGAGAGAGAGAGAGAGAAATCTATTGAATTCAGATTTCGATGGCGTGAACGAATCTTGCTTAGTCACTTATTCGCGACAAGCGAAAGTTTCGAGTCTTTGTTTTCGCGAATAATCATGTTAAAAAATATATATATTTTCGAATATATGGTAAAGAGAACATACGAGGATGATCGACAACAGCCGGGTGATTGCGTCACGCGGGATTTTCATAGACGATTCTAGAATATACTCCACGCGGTGGTCTCGCTCGATATACCTGGCAAAATGTCGCGAGTCTTGGAAACAAAACGTTCGTTAAATCTTTCAAAATATCGTCTTCAATCAAATCCTCCTCTCTCCATAAAATAATTTTTATTTGAGATTAATCCGTCGCGATTACGATTAATTTCAATCGAAACGGAGGATGAGGGAGACCGAAGGGGTGGAGAGAGGAGAGGGGCCCTACTCATGCGATGGCGCACACGCTCTCCTTCCTCTTCATCATTCCACTCGTGCGCTATTCGCGAGACAACGTGTGGTCACATCGCGCCGATCTTCATCTCGCCCTCGACCCTAATCAAATTGTCCGATCGATCAGTGATCTCCGAGGAGTAGCTTTAAGAATCAAAGGTAAAGCCGCGAAATGGATCCGCGCCTCTCTGAGGAAAATCGCGAGAAAATTGGCCGGAACGAACGAACGAAGCCGGCCGGGGACCGCGTGCGCGATCTTCGCGAATGATCGACGGGATTTTTTTTCGTTTCTTCCTCTGGAAGTGGTCCTTCGATGAGAAGATCGAATGGCTTTTAATCTCGCCAAGATTTTCAGCAATAATTTTATTTTCCGCGAATGTTAACCTTCGGTTAAGCCGCTTCACGCGGATATTTACATAACCACATTTCGCGAGAAGAATAATTATGGACGCGATAGATGAATTTTTCTTGTAATTTTCTTTTATAAAATTGCGATTATCGCAATTTTTTTTCTAATGGCTGTTTCTTTTTTTCTCTCTCACTCTCTCAACGAAGTATTTCTCTTGTCAAATTACGCTTTTGCGTAATCTGATAACAAAAGTTGTATCCACTTACAATTAATGTTTTAATTAATATTGAACCTAACAGATATTATAATATTTTTCTGTCAATCTTTTTGTTCTCTATATATTTATGGCGCAATATTTATTTGCATAACAAATTATAACAATTTATCTTAATTTATCAATTTTTTCATCTATTCCATAAAATATAGTGCTTTTAGATTTTATATTAAATGTTATATCTTTTTTATTTAAAATAATGTAGTTTGCAAGAAAAGCAAATTGATTAAATATTTCGATACACTTAATAATTGCATCAGAAAGCACAAACTTATAAATAATATAAATAATATAAATATTGAATTAATATTAAATTTATATTGTTAAAATAATAGCTTAAAATCAGAATCTCAATTGATGTTTATTATGTTCTTTTGTAGATGCACAGATTACCAACCATATTGAGAGGATCTGCCTTGCGTCAGTTGCAAGTACGCTCATATGCCAAAGATGTACGTTTTGGAGCTGATGTTCGTGCCCTGATGTTGCAAGGTGTAGACATTTTGGCGGATGCTGTTGCTGTGACAATGGGTCCTAAGGGCCGTAATGTTATTCTGGAACAAAGCTGGGGAAGCCCGAAGATCACAAAGGATGGCGTGACTGTGGCAAAAGGCATTGAATTAAAAGACAAATTTCAAAATATTGGAGCAAAATTAGTACAAGATGTAGCTAATAATACTAATGAGGAAGCTGGTGATGGTACTACAACTGCAACCATATTAGCTAGAGCTATAGCCAAAGAAGGATTTGAAAAGATCAGTAAAGGTGCAAATCCTGTAGAAATCAGACGAGGTAAATATACTACTTATTATCAATCAATTATATCTTTATGTATCTTGCAGTATCTGAGGAAACTGTTGATTTTTGACTTTTCACTGTGAGATAAATTTAAGATTAATATATACATGATTTATATTTTCGTTAATATATATATCTCAGTATATATTTTCATTCGAAATTATGTATTAAAAAAATTTGCGTTTTTCAGGTGTAATGTTGGCGGTAGACAAAGTCAAAGATGAATTGAAAACTTTGAGCAAACCAGTCACGACACCCGAGGAAATCGCTCAAGTAGCAACGATATCTGCTAACGGTGACAAAGCTATCGGCAACTTGATATCTGATGCCATGAAGAAAGTCGGGAAGGAAGGTGTAATTACTGTAAAGGATGGCAAAACGCTTACCGACGAACTAGAAGTCATAGAAGGATTGAAATTCGATAGAGGCTACATTTCTCCATACTTCATCAATTCCAGTAAAGGAGCCAAAGTCGAGTTCCAAGACGCGCTCATTCTCTTTAGTGAAAAGAAAATCTCCTCCGTTCAGAGCATTATCCCTGCCTTAGAAATGGCCAACTCGCAACGCAAACCTCTCGTCATAATTGCCGAAGATGTCGATGGCGAGGCTCTGTCGACGCTTGTTGTCAATCGTTTGAAAATTGGATTGCAAGTAGCTGCGGTTAAAGCTCCAGGTTTCGGTGACAATAGAAAAGCCACTCTTCAAGATATGGCAATATCCACTGGTGGCATTGTATTCGGCGATGATGCTAATCTTATCAAATTAGAGGACGTTCAGGTGCATATATGTTCGATTTATTAATAGCTTATAGTTTTATCAAATTGGCAGAAAATTTTATAGAAAATATTTCATCTTCCAGCCAAGCGACTTAGGTCAGGTGGGAGAACTCATCATCACAAAAGATGATACTCTCATTTTGAAGGGCAAAGGAAAAAAGGCTGATATCGATAGGAGAGCCGATCAAATTAGGGATCAAATTGAGAACACTACGTCCGACTACGAGAAAGAGAAGCTGCAAGAACGGTTGGCGAGGTTAGCATCCGGAGTCGCCGTCTTGAGAGTTGGTGGAAGCAGCGAAGTAGAAGTTAACGAGAAGAAGGATCGTGTACACGATGCCCTTAATGCCACTCGTGCCGCTGTCGAAGAAGGAATTGTTCCCGGAGGTAAATTTCGACTTTCATCTTTCGACATTTCTCTCTCTCCCTCTCTTCACACACACACACACACACACACATAGACACTAAGAAATATGACATTGTTACGACTGTTCTTTTGTTATAGGTGGCACCGCTTTGTTGAGATGCATACCAGCACTACGGCAGCTCAAGGCGGTAAACAGTGATCAAGAGACCGGGATTAAAATTGTAGCGAATGCTCTGCGTATGCCATGTCTACAGATCGCACAAAATGCCGGCGTCGACGCCAGTGTGGTGGTGGCTAAAGTGAGCGAGGGCAAGTTGGGTTACGACGCTCTGAAGGACGAATATGTTGACATGATCGAAAAGGGCATCATCGATCCCACAAAAGTCGTGCGCACAGCACTAACCGATGCAGCGGGCGTCGCGTCGCTGTTGACGACAGCGGAAGCAGTTGTCACTGAGTTACCTAAAGAGGAACCACAAATGCCGATGGGCGGTATGGGTGGTATGGGAGGAATGGGCGGCATGGGTGGCATGGGTGGCATGGGCATGTAAAAAGATAAAGACAAAGACTGAGAAAGAGACAGCCCGTACTGCAATCCTGTTCATTATGAGACACAATTACGCCGCGCAACGTTGTTAAAATAGTTTTGAACATTTAGCTCGGCTCGAACGGAACGAGGTTTCCAATCACAGTTTGTATTTTGAAACATTACAGGTGATAACATGACGCATCTAACACGAATCTATCGTTCAAAGACACAATTTGTTTCATATTGCCTTTGTTTTACAGATCTGTAACAAATCGTTAAATCTTGTTACAAATCATATATTTCATGCAGGTCATTCTTTCTTAATTTAATAAGTAAATATACATGTAGTGCATATAAAAGTGTTTCAAATATACAAATGCATTTAATGTAAAAACGATTACTACGTTATGAAACTTGTTAATATGTTTATATACAGATGATTTTGTGGCCAATTAACAATTTAATCAATTATATAGTAATTTTTAAATAAAATTAATTATTTTGCCCATTGTTAAATCTCCCATATTCCAAATGATATAATTGTTTCATAAAACTAAAAACAAAAACGGATAACTTTTGTTCAATGTTTGAAATATTTCATATAGTTTTTCAGTTATAGTATTCATTAAAGATGTCCAAGTATGAATGTATATGTTAATTGTGGAAGGTTAATTATTTAGATTCTCATAATTTTATAATTAGGTTTATTTTCTTTGCTTTAATAAAAGTATGTTTAAATTACAATTTTTCTTTTTATGTGTGCGTGTTATACAAACTATTGTTGCAGATAAGTAAATAATTAAGAAGAGTTTATAAATGGAAATTTTTATTAGAATATAAACATTCTTATTATATCCTTGTTTTATACATTTGCTTTTTTTAGTAGTATCAGACCAAAACACGAAATATGACTTATAAATATGTCAAAACAATCTTTTTTGATTATATGTATGTATAAGAAATATGTTACAAAGATTTTACATGCGGGCCTATTCCGATGTGATCATCTTAAATATCCATTGACATTTATATTTTCAGAATATTATGCTCATTAAATTACTATTATTTTCTGATCATAAACATCCAAAGAGATATTCAGGCTGATCAAATGCGATCAAGAGGATAAATTTAACGAAAAAATTTTTCATTTTTTTCATGCTTTTATAAATTTTCATCTTACACAAACTCAAAATATTCGTATCTATTATTTTTTTATAAAATTATATAGTCAAGCACATCATAGAATTATACAGTCAAATGGAAAACTTTAAGTTCTTTTCATTGAAAAACAAAATTGAACAAAATCTCAATACAATAAATAAATAGATTAATGTTTCCTACATGCATGTGTGAATTTTCAGCACAGGCATATAAAAATATTCTTATTCCTACATTTCTTATCCAATCATTACATTTCAAACTAATGAAATATACAAAATCTAACTGCAAGAGGTAGAGAAAAAGAGTAAAAGAAGTAAAACAGAAAGTAAAAAAAAAAGAAACAATTTTTTATTGTAAGAATGTTATGTCTGTGTGTATGTGTGTGTATGTAAAAAAGAAATATTTCATATTCAAAATACAAAGAGAGAAGTCCGTTTTAAAAAATGTTATATATATATTAAGCCTATCGATGTATCCATAAGCATGTTCGCAATGTCTATGTCTAAGCGCCGATTTTTTCTATTTCATCTGCATCTTCCGCATCTAGATAATGAATTTTTTTGCCAAAGTGGTTTTCTATATCTTTGCATAATTGCATTGCATGTGGCGAGTCAATTAAATTGATAGCAATCCCCGATTTACCGAATCGACCTGTTCTGCCGATTCTGTGCAAATACGTTTCACAATCGGCTTGCCGTTTTTGGTCCATCGGCAGATCGAAGTTAACTACTATCGTCACCTGTTCTACATCAATACCTGTCAAGTATTATAAATTTTATTACCATCTTTATATAATTATCATATATATCATATATATTTAAAACAACAGTGAAAAAGATTAGGATAGGTAGGTAGGATGGATTACATGCATGATGAAATCTTCTTAAGGCTGGATTATATATAATTCTGCATCTTCTTCTTGTTGTATTGGCATATTTACCTCTGGCTAAAACATTTGTAGTGATGAGAACTTTCTCAAGTCCTGCTCTAAATCTATCTAGCACAGAAATTCTTTGTTCAACTGTCAAGTCACCAGAAAGTATCGCCACTGCGTGTCCATCTCTTGTCATTTTTTCTGCTAACCAACTGGCTGTTTTTTTCGTCTGAAAAATAACATTGTATTTTATCACACCAATTATCTAGGACTTAACAAATTTTTAAAATATGATCAAAGTTCTTACATGACAAAAAATAATAGCTTGTCCAATTGTTATTACACCATAAATATTAGTAATAGCTGTATATTTTTCATCCACATTTTTGCATTTAATGTAGTACTGTTTAATATTGTCTAAACTTTCCTGTTGTCTTAACAGCTTAATTATTATTGGATTACTGACTATGATCTCTGCAAAGTTCATCACTTCTGGTTCATATGTCGCAGAAAAGAACATCATTTGACATGTACGTGGAAGTAATCTGTGTATAAAGTAAATATAAGTAATATTTATGTAAAATATTATTATGTAAATAATATTATGTAAATACATTTAGTTATACAATGCACAAAATTACTTATGTATGCGGATGCATTGATCTTGATGACCTTGTGTAGCAATCATTACGTCTGCCTCATCCAATACAAAAACAGATATTTTGCTGAGATCAAAAAATTTAAATTTTTGTCCCCAATCCAACACTTTACCCGGGGTTCCTATAATTATGTGTTCGGTGATTTTCGATCCACGACTTACTGAAACAGTTAAAGCAATGTCAAATGTAAAAATTCGATTTGCAACAAATAATTCAAATTGTATAAAATGATATGTATTACTTTCTTCTCCTCTCACGGCGTATTTTATTTTTATTTCAGGACAAAAGCGTGACATTTTTGCTGCTACTTCGCCTGTTTGGATCGCCAATTCATAAGTTGGCGATAAACAAAGTACTTGTGGATAATCTTTTGTAGTGTCCACCCGACTCAACATAGCTAGTACAAATGCAGCAGTTTTACCAGTTCCAGATTGAGATTGGGCAATCATATTCTGTGGTCTAAGAAAGTTTTTCCAAGGATTGGTAAAAGACTATATTTTAAAGAATACAAGAATCATTGGAAATAATTAGAGCTTATACTTACGGATCAGCAAGTAAGGTAGGTAAAGCAGTTTCTTGAATTCTGGAGGGAGCATTAAATCCCATACCATATACTCCTTGCAATAATGCAGGCTTACTATATTAGAAAACTTATATCAATATATGCCATTATTTAGGTACAGAAGAAAAAAGACTATATAATTATTTACAGATGAAGAGCTTCGAATGATTTGACACTATATAACGGAGACTGTGGATCCTTTCTTTGAATCTCTGGGTCTTTCGTCGTTTCAACTAATCCTTTCCTTATAATTTTTTGAAGAAGTGATTTTTCTGCCGGTGAAATTTGATCTTCCGATGTATCATCCTCGCTCCTCGCATCTCCATCATTTATAGATACAATAGATATAGGTGCAGAAGCATTGGTTTGATCTAAGTTCAAATTCGTCACCTATAATATAATACATATATAATAAAATTCATTCACTCAACAAGTCATGTGCGATTAGTTGAAATTAAAAGATATACAATTAATAATTTCATACAAAAATTAGGTTAACTATCCCAAAAGTTATCGCACAAAAAAAAATAAAATGAATCGCGCATCGAATAACAAGTCACAATTCTATGAAAAACGATAATTTTTTTCATTCAATGTTACATTAAAAAGACTCAAGGCTCAAATGAATGTTTCCCGCGATGAACCCCATCTTACCTTTGATGCCAATTTGTCTTGTTCGTCAGCATATTGACCCCAGTCGACCTTAGTCGAAGCCATATCCGTCAGTTTTTATCTTTTCACGATTTATGTCCGTTGGATGCTTTGATACTTGCTAAAATAACTGGTCGATTAACTCGGCAAATATTAATCGGCAATGGCTAACGACGTCGTGATGGTGATCGGTTGGAGTCACGAATTGATTTTGGAGACATCACGTGGTAAAAATATGAAGCTTCGGTTTCGGAGTTGCCAATGTTGAGAAAAAAATTTCACTAAATTATACGTCATGATTTTCACTAAAATCTAGTAACATTGGTGTTTTAAAAAATTATTCGATTAATCGATCGCTTCCTATTCGTCCCCACTTATCGATAAACTCCCGATACGATTATGCCGCGGCCATTATAGAATTCTCTCTGCCTTACGAGAAATTGGAAGCTTACCATGTCAGAGCAGTAAGTGTTTTCGTTTCTTACTTTGAGGGATAGAGAGGAGAGCGAATCTCGAGCTTTAATTTCGTATGACTTCCCGTTTCAAGAATGATACATTAGGCAATCGTTTCAGAGATTCGCGATCGCGTTAACGTTCGCGAAAATGAGCAGGTTAGAATCGGCGAACGCCTCCAACAATGACGTTGTTGTGACACGAGAAGCGAGAGGTCTTTCCTACGCTAACGTCTCTTGTTTATGTTTTCTGCTAACAAGCTTTTTCTTTTTGATGCTTCCAGTGATGATACCTTGCTAGATGAAGATCTCGGGGACGAAGAGTACGATCTGGGTAACGATGAGGAAGAGGCTCTTCTAGCGGATGACTACGATATAGAAAGGGTGAGCATATTGTTTACCCATTACTTTCCAGTCGGATGAAATTTTATTCCCATTCGATATTCGGTTATTTCAATCGCATCTTCTTCCATTAATACTTTTGAAAATTCCTTGTCCTTAAACCTTTGTATATATTTTGCTTTTGTTCACCTAATTCATATCAAAAGTAGTTTTTGCAATTAGTATATCACTTAATGTCAATTAAATAGAAATATCAAGCTGACGATTAAAGGCAATGATATTTCTATTTCTTCTAAATGCTATTGTTTAATTAATTCTCTATAAGGAGTTTGAATAGACAAAGAAAAGTTAGACTTCATATTGTTCAAAATTTTTTAATTTCAGATAGCGAATAATATTTATAATTATGTACATATTTATGTTATTACCTGTATGTTAAAAAATGTTTAATATTCTTTATGCGTAAACTGCGAAAAAATTGGAATTGTATAATATGGGCGCAGTGATGATTTTACTATCAAACTGTCGAATGTACTAAAAAGGCAAAGTACCTAAACTTTGTATTTTTGAACTTTAAAGTTTCAAACATGTGCGTGATGTATAACTATTATGTTATATTAAGTACTAATGTGTACATAGATTTATTCATATACACACATAATATTTGTTATGTTGGCTATTTTTCTAGTTATAAATTGTGAATAAATATATTTACAACATAGGAAACAATTATTTTACATATATAAAAATTCGTGATATCAAGACTGTTCAACAAGGTGCAGCAAGAACACTTTTGCTTGATTGCAAATAGTTGTGAAAATTGTTACTGCAATTCAAAAAATGTATGCTTTCTGTAGGCATTATTATTTATGTTAATGGACATTTGGAGAATTTTGTACAGGTTAAAACAAATGTATTAGGCAACTGTATTATAATCCACAAATGTTCTGACAGTAGACAAAAATTATATGAGAAATGAGAACACAAATAACATTAACTTACTAGATTGGAAACTATTAAATTCATATGTTACTTTAATATGTTATTTCATAATAACTAATTATAATAATTAATATTTATTTTATAATAACAGCACATTGTTTTTATATATTCAACAGCTTAAAATATTGTCTTGGAATGTTTCTCTTTAACAATGCAAATGATTTATATAGATAATTATTTTTGAACAAGTATTATGTTAGAAGATATTTAATAGTTTCAAAATACTACATGGATTTGTTTTACCTGTTACGTAAATGCGATAATTTTTGTATAATAAGAGCAATCAAATAAGATATCAATAATAAGTAAACAGAAAAAATTTACATGTAGATACATTTAAATGGCGAATTGGTTAAATACACAATTTGATAATTTGCTAACTGCAAATGAAAGTCTTCATTATTGTATTTCGTCTCGCTTATTAAAAAGTTATTTTGAAAATGGTCTAATGTAAGATAATAAATATAAAATATATGTATGTTATTATACGTATAAGTAGAAATTTTTTACTGAATATTTTTCTGATTATTTAAATGTGTTGATATTTTATGATAAAAAAAGTTGTTAAAAGTAAATTTATATATTTTTTTAAGCAATATAATCTAAAAATAGTGACATAAATTTATTTAAAAATATATATAAATTTTTATAGAGAAACTTTTATATATATAAAACGAAAATTTTTTATGATGTAAATTCTTACATTAAGCCATTTCATGTTTGATTGTGAAGACTACATATTTTGGTTCTTGAAAATTGTACATCGCGATTTTTAGTATTAAGTAATCTCAAAATGTATAAGAAATAATTCACCACTCTCAATGTATAAGAAATAATTCAGTTATATCAATGCAATAAGATATATTTTTAAATTTTATTATAATTTGAATTTTTTTATATTTAATGTAATCATTATTATGTGTTAATGCTATTTTAAAATTTATTGCAGATTTTAAAATTGAAAATTATTGAATAAATAAATATATTTTGTTCATATCTGGTTATATTATTATATAATGCAGATTTTAATACAAATATATTATATGAAATTCATATAAGCTAAAATTTAAAAAATAATATTTGATAAATTATATTTGTAAAATTTTGTATAACTGCAAATTTATATAACTGCATGTATATTACTGAATTCTTTAGACTGAATTATATCATATTACACTGATATATGCAAGTTTTATCTTATACAAAGCATAAGCAAAGTTTTATTATACAATAATCGTATACCGAATGTTATATATTTATCACTGTGATTAATATTTTATCGATATAAGTTATCGGTTTAGATATCACTGAAAAAGTATCATATTGCACATAATTACATATTTTACACCGCTGTGTACTCGGATTTGCCACAATCATCACATTTGTTTATAATATCTGTCCGTTTTATTATTATTATCGTTAGATATAAGAGCATGTTTTCTCGGTACGTTAATAGATGTAGTAAATTAGTGTAGAAGAAAGATAATCTTCAAAGAAGAAAATTCTTTTAAAAGTTACGTTTATCGCGTGGGGATCAAATATGCACCAGAATCAGGAATCAGGACTCATACAATACCATATGCGAGTGTACATATTGATAGTTTTCACAAACAGTTGGAGAGAAAGGAGGATATTCCATTTATGCACACTTTAAATACACATTAGTTACGATATAATGAAACGTAGATTATAACTAGATATATATGGATAAATATGTATTTGCATTACAAATATCTGCCAATTTGATTCCCCGAGCAGCAGAATAGCTATAAGGGAGAAGAGGAAACAGATGATGTACTGGACTTAGGAGTCACGGACGCGCTCGACGACTTAGATGGCGAAGACGAGAATATAGAGTTTAGTAGAGGCAATACTGATAAACGTAACGATAACGATTTCTATAAAGATGGAGAACATCCGATGGAAATACAATCTGCGTCGTATTACGAGCAAGACGAGGGTGCTGAGCAGTACGCGAACGAGCAGGCGTCACGTCAGTCCGGCAAAAATTCGGAGTCCAATAATGTTAATGTTTCTAATAATATTGGCAAGGGCGATCTACGCGAGAAGCTCCAAAGAAACATGCAGAAGACTGCTTACATCGGCAACGGACAAGGAATGGAGGACGACGACTGCGAGGAGGCGAAGGAAAGGCGTAACAGATTTCAAAACGAGCGTACGATGATTTCTCCAAAGATGAACAATGATATTCCGGATACCTTAGAGAATGTTGTCACGTCGGAACCATCCAGAGCGCCGTTCAGAGGAAGAGGACGAGGTCGTGGAGTAAGAGGAAGCAGAGGAGGACGATTTAACGTACAAAACGCTGGAAATTTCAATCCAAGGTATAACAATGATAATCTTAATAATACAACAGTACTAATATAACATAAATAATACAATTATATAATATTATAGTAATAGCAGTATTAATAGTGGTATATAATGACAATTTTAATAATTGAATAAATAAAAATAAAGCATATACATTATTGTGTCGTTCGAATGTTCGATTTAATAAATATACATTTTATGAAATACTTTGTTTGTAGGTTTGGTACGGCACGGCCCGGTAATTTTGATAATCAACCGCCTGCTTGTAGACCACCATTAATAGAGACTAGGCCGCCATGTCTCCTTGGCGTACCAAGTAACGTACCACCAAATCAACAGCAGATAATGTTCCAACAACAAGCTAATCCACCACAGCCCTTTCAACAGCCCTTTGGTCCAAACGGTCCGTTACAAGGACCACCGGCGCAATTTGCGGAGAATAGGCAGTTCAACCCCGGGCAATTCCAGGGCCCGATGGGGCCACGTTCAATCGGTAGCCAAAGATTACCCGAATATGGACTTAGGGGTCCGCTGGCAGGAGGCTCTATACAAGGACCGAATTACAATTGTCCACCCAACCAGCAGTCGCCATATCATCCGCCGATGCAGCCGCCGCCATTTCAAAATCCGAGCGGTGTCATGCAAGAAAACCGACCTGGTATGCAAGGTAATCAGGGAGGACCTCTATTACAAAATCCGGGAGGAGGATCGCTTCTCGGTAACCCGAACTGCTTGTTGCTGCCTGGAAATCCGCCCAATATGTTGCTCCCTGGGGGAGGGAATCTGCCAGTATCTATGGGCCAAGGATTCCCTCGTCAACAGCAAGCGTTACCAAGCGCCTCTCAAGGTCCGCCCATGCAAAATCTGCCGCCGAATGTGCAAATATCTAGTCAGCCACCGCCCTTTGAGAACAGACTGCCGCCGCCGCCGCCGCCACAATTTCAAGAGCCCCAATTCGAAGGCCGGAACGCGTATGACGCAAGAGGTTTTCATCCTTCCGATCAAGTACCCAATAGCCAATTTAATAATACGATGCAACCGGTACCGCAACAGTCGGCGTCTAATGTATCACACAGTGTGTCTTTACCTCCAGGCCACAAGATTCTAATCAATCCTCATTTTAGAGGCACCGTTCAACCCGCGAATGATAGTAAGTATCTCTAACGAACATTTATCTAATGTATCATCTAATGTATCTAGATTGTTAATCACTTTACTAAAAACTTTTTTGTCTGTAATAATTGCGCGATAGCTCGACTCGCTTGGGATTCTAATCAACAACAAACCCAATCGCAAGTTTCTCATAGTGGACAATTTCCACAACCGCCATCATCGTATCAAAATCAAGGACCTTATAATCAGACCCAACAAGGTTCATCGCAGTATCAACAAAATTATCAGCAGAATAAAAGTGACGTAAGTAATATGTGGTTGCATAATACAAAAAATGAATGAACTTGTAAATCATTAATATTCGTATTATAGGATCCATATGCATATTTTTCTGATGTGTGGCAAGAAAATAGACCGCAGAAGCCTCAGAATAGCCCAAATAAGCATTATCCTTCGGATAACAATTATTCCCGAGAGAGCTACAGTGATGGTAATAAATATAAATTGAATAGCCAATGGGAGCAAAGGGATAGTTATCAAGAGGTAAATATTACGTGTAATGAAATTGATGCTTGTATTAAATTGCTTGTTTCAAACGCTCAATTGTTTTCTCTATATTAGGATTATAGAGGATCTCATCAAAATTATCGAGAAAGAGATTTGCCACCACGAACAAGAAACGATCATACGCAAAGAAGCAGAACGCCACCAAATACGTATCGTGGGGACTCCTACGATCAAGTTCATAATCTGAAATTTTCTAGACCGGCGAATATTACACCTCGTGGAGCGAATAGACCACCGCAGAAGAGGATATCTGAGTCTTCGGACAAAGGACTGCGAGAAGTAAGTCCAAAACGTAAGCCGTCTAACAGAAATCTTCAAGAGATACGAAGAGTAGATACAGCGAGTGAAAATGTCGTCGACAAGGTAAATTTCTCGTTTCACAAAGAATTAGCTTTAACTTATGATAGAATCTAAATACATCGCAAAGCTATGATTTCAGGATGAAGATCCAGAGATGCAAGAATACCGTAAAAAAATGGAAGAACAAAAACGTCTTCGCGAGAAGTTGTTACGCGAGAAAGAGAACAGACGTAAGATGGCTGCAATGGAGAAACAAAATGAAGATACCAAGATCGATTCAAATACTGCAGGTAAGTCAATTGTTATCAACACTTGTACAAATACATTTCTACATTTTTCTTATCGATTACAACAATATGTTCGAAATATTTTAGTGAGTGAAAATACACAGCAAGAAATAAAACCTGCAACAGCATTGATGGGAATTGTAAAGGACGTTAAAACTCGCCCTGGTGTTACTAAAGGACGTGGTCGTCCTATCAATCAAAGCACAGAGGTACATTAAATGTATCACTTTATTATATTCTTCAGTTGTGATTGATTTTTTTATGACGAAATGTATAAATTATACAATTGTATAATATATAATATACATTTCTGCATTTATAAAGAGAAATTTCTATTCCGGTGCTTGTATTCAATTATAAGTAACAGGGATATGTATGATTCAGTAGTATTTTTTAATGCAAGTTACACAATACTTCTCATGCACAAACAATTACAAAAATGTTATATAATTGTAAATGTACTTATGTGCATATAAAAATTGAATATAAATGTTAGTATTCTTAGACTGAACAAATTATTTTCTCTGCAGAATTAGCAGTTTTACTGTATACTGCATGTTTGTTAATTAGTAGAAAATATCATTTTTTAAACATATTTTATTACTAATTATACATATTTTTAGATGAAATATTACTTTTTTTTTAATTACACATACAGTTTTTTTTAAAGTTACTGTGTACATTTTTCTTATGTTCTAATAAAATATGCTTTTTCAATAAATTTTGTTTCTTTTCTCATTTTTCCTTCAGCATATCTTAACAGAGTTTAAAAAATTCAAAGTTTGCAAACTTTTTAATTAAAGTAAATTATTTAGAAGAAATATATTGTGTTAACATGGTTTCATTAATGCTTCTGTTTTATGCTATTATTGTTATTTTGAAATAACTAATTTTTTTCTTTCAATAATAGTTTAAATTAACATACAAACTTTTATCTAATATAATGCATTTTTTGTTGTAGGCAGCAGACAGACCGTCTAATATGCGAATTGTCAGAACGATACCAACTATACAAAGTAACGATTTATCAGATACAATTGGTTCAAAAGATAATAATTCTGGATACACAACTAATCAAACCGGCGATATTGGACAAACGAGACAAATGATACAACAATCTGGCACACGAAGAGTCGTAATACAAAAACCTCTGGTAAATTCGCAAAAAATCATCGCTACCACAATACAAAAAACTGTCTCCAATCTGCAGAAGAATCAGGGAATACAACAGAAAATAGTACCAAACACGCAAGTTGTGCAAGGGCAGAAAATCATACAGAATCAGGTCAATGCATTACAAAAGTCTGGAACTATTGGACCGAAAACCACAAATGTTGGTCAGAGAATGGTAACGCATAAAACACCTGGTAGCCTGCAGAAAACTGTAATCAACGATAACGCGAATGTTCATGGTCAATGTCAAAAAGTCATGAATGCGCAACAAAATCCACAGCGAATCGTGCTACAAAAAACTGCAGTTCAAGCGAAAAAGTTACCCGAGATAAAGACGAATACAGTTAAATTAGAGAATTTGGCTGCAAGCACTTCTGAAGCCCAAATCAGACGTATGTGTCAAGCCATCGGAACTATTGAGGTGACTATATTTACATGAGAATGTTTCACCTGGCACACTCGTTATTATCAATTATTATTGACACGCTTTTATTACATTTCATGTATTTTTCTGTACTTTCCATTTTTAAGTTCATGGAGAATATTTAGATTTAGGTACGAATTCCAAAGCATAACGATTTATTTTTTGCATGTGCTTTTTTCTAAAAAGAATCGCATTTTATTTAAATGCATAGAAAAGATAACAAATGTATTATTTCTTTAGATAACTTGTAACTACAAAGTATTATAGAACAAAGTATTCGAGATTATATTGATTTATATTGAGATTGATATATATGTTTGATCAATTATTTACTCATTAATTTACAATTTACATAATTGTAACGATTGCATTCCAAAGATATATATTATAATTAGGAATAAGTAATATCTCAATATTCTATGATATGACGATGTTCTTTAGATCAATATTCTATGGTATGATGATGTTCCTTAGATCAATATTCTATGATATGATGATGTTCCTTAGATCATATATACATATATTACATTATATATATATATATATATATATATATATATATATATATATATATAATGCATTTGTTTTACACTGAATTACATAGAATCGATAATTTTATAATGTGTTAATTTGTTTTAAATACATTGCATGCATGTAATGTAATGACTAGTATTTAATGCAGTTGACCAAATATTATTATATTCATGACTAGAATAGGACTGAAAAAAATTTTTTTTATAATGTTACTATATAATCACAGATTATTTGATAATTGATCTATATTTATATTTAGTTTACATAATTTTTCCAATATTATTTTTTTTCTTTGGTAAAAAAGACACTGAGCAATTTTAGAAATATGATGAAATGTAAACTTTACATCGCAGTATGAATTTAAGAAACAATTATTGTAATAAAACCAGTCATAAATTCTGCAAAATTTGAAATTGTTAATGATTTCATGAATTTTCCTTATTTTGTTCCTTTCGAAAATGTTGTAATGCAGTACAAACAAACATATTAAACAGAAACTCATTAATTTTCCTTAAAAATTATCATTTTTTTATTGTTTATACATAGACATTCTTTCTTATATCTATATTTTAAATATATTTAAATATACAATCTAATAACAATATATTCTCTATTCTTCGTGTTATAGAGCATACGTATGGGCGAGGGTAACGCGACCATTGTGTTTAAGACACAATCCGCTGCCATGGTGTTTCACAAGAAATACCAGCGTAAAATGCTCGATCTATCACTGATAACCGTTCGTCTCGTGCCGCAAAGTACTATCGCCAATAAGGTGGTAACGGCGATCGCGAAGAAATCTTAGAGACGAATCTCGAAATATTATCAACATATTCTTAGCGTTAATTCCATGTAAACCGCGAATCTTCTAGACGGTACTTTTCTTGTTTCGAGGTTCATCGGATCTGTTGGATAGAAATAAAAGTATGTATCTATATATTTTATACACGTATATATTCCAAACATTATAGAAATTTGTAAAATTTAGTAAAGATGTAGCAAAACTTCTATTGGATCTTCAGTGGAAGAATAATGTAAACGGTAAGAGTTCTCGAGATTTTTCAACCAACGTACGAGATATTCGTTATTATTTATGAGAACTCGTCTATGTATATATATAAATTGTATATTTCGTATAAAATAATGTATAATGATGTGCATATGAAATAAAGTAACATGCAACAATATGCATCTAGAAAAAGAAAATGATTGTATAAAGTTTATTATATAGTGATATATAATGATAATACTTTCTTAAAATGCTAATGCTTTATAAGCAGAAATAAAATTTATTCTATTAAAATCAGCTGTGTGTATCTGAAAGAATATCTCGAACTACAGAGTATAGAATAAATATATATTTAAGTAAGAGAAAAAACGCGCTCATAATCAAAAGATCTTATTATGTATCGATATGTAATTTAGATAATCTATGATGAACATATAATATGATGATAAACAATCATATTGCAATAAACTGTAGCTCATTTAAAATATCAGCTCTAACTTTATTATATATATTTTATTAAATTTACAAGTTTATTTTTACAATGTGTTTTTATAAATTAAAAAAGTAAACGTAAAAATGGGCATTTTATGTAAAAAGTGATGAATATTTCTGATCGCATAAGTATCGTTATTATATAAATTTCATTCTTAGATTTTCTCTTTTTTATTACAGATCGCTATTAAAAATATAAAAAAATACAAAACATATATTTCTTGAAATTGTTGCAAATATAATTTACATTCAAAATTTTAAATTTTCAGTAAATATTAAATCTCATGTGATTTATTTCTTTAACTTAATAAAAACTATGGTTTATATTTTGTTTGAATTTTCGGAATCGTAATTTGTGCGATAAATGTTATGTTAATAATTAAACTAATTGGGAGCAAAAAATGTGGAACGCTTCACGATTTTGCGTGTCATCCTTGCGCAGGGGCCATGCTAATCTTCTCTGTATCGTTCCAATTTTAGTATATGTACTGCCGAAGCAAGTACAATTAACATCTTCCAAGATATTCCTTATAAACGAAGTATTATTACAAGTGTACTTGCGAGAAACTAAAATAATCAATTTGCCATCTAGTGGTGAAATTGTTTACTACATTAGAGACACCAGCTGATTCAACTGAGCTGAATGAATGGGTCTGTTCTTTTCAGCTGCACTGCTGCACTAGTGCAATTAGTTAGAGTGAAAGAAAGTATGTTTGTCTCTTTCTTACTTAGTGCAGTAGTACAGCTGAAAAGAACAGACCCAATTTTATGCTTGACATGTTTGAATGAGAATTCGAATATAATATATATAGTATATTTTTGTTGCACTAGAATTAGTAAAAGAATATACAAAATAATTATGACGAGGACATATTTGTGTATTTTAATTCAATTTAAATATACGCGATTAGAGTTCTACGTTTGATATAACCTATTTAGATTTTGTACTCATATTAATATTATCAGTGCTAATATTTTGTCGTTTAACTATACAATGGCCAAGTGCGCGTATTTTTTGTCGCATAAATTATTATTAGAGTTCTGTCAGCCAAAATGTTTGAAATTTCTACGTATGAGTCACCGGACATTAAATGCGGTGCGAAAGTTTGCGGATGACAGGCCGGCTGTTATTTTAGGGATCGAAACGAGCTGCGATGATACAGGATGCGGAATCGTGGACACTACAGGAAAAATTTTGAGCGAGGTGATAAGCTCGCAGCATCTTACTCATTTAAAGTAATTGCGTGATTATTATATTTCGCGAGTTATATATTTGAAAGATCAACATGAGTTTGATACATTTTAATCCAATTATAAATAAAACATTAATCTATTGATTAAGATTGTATTTGATTATATTGAATAGAATTAATCTCTGTGTGTGTGTTATTAAAAAAAAGTGTTAAATTTTAACCATATCATTTATCAAAATGACAATCTAAAAATTATTTAGTAATATGTTTAATTGTAATTGTATTCATGTTTTCAGATATGGTGGCATAATACCTACAATCGCCGGCAATATGCACAGACAACAGATTACCGCAGTCTGCGAAGATGCGCTGAGATCAGCAAATTTAAGATTAAGAGATATAGATGCTATTGCAACCACAACTAAACCTGGTCTTTCTTTATCACTTAGTGTTGGAAATACCTTTGGCCAATATCTTTCTAGGATCGGTAACAAGCCATATATACCAATACATCATATGGAAGCTCATGCATTAACTGTACGGATGGTACAGAAAGTATGTTGAAATTATAATTGCATATGTGCTGTATGCAACACGAATTATTCATGTAATATTTTATAGGTAGATTTTCCTTACCTAGTTTTGCTTGTATCAGGTGGCCATAGTTTACTAGCAATCGTTGAAAATGTCGATAAGTTTTACACGCTAGGTACTACATTGGATAATGCACCTGGTGAAATTTTTGATAAGGTATGTTTGTACAAAGTTTGTTTATTTGTATTGTATGTTATATATATATATATATATATATATATATATATATATATATAATATTCAATTTCAATTTTTTAATAAATTTGGAATTAATTTTCCTTCCAAAAGTTATATGAATAAAATTTTATAGAATTTCTACATAATACAAAAAGACAAAAAGATTTCTAATGTGATTTAATAATGATTGTAGATTGCTCGTCGACTCAAGCTTGCGAACATACCTGAATTTTCGCATATGAGCGGTGGTCAAGCTATAGAGATTGCAGCAAGCAAAGCAACAAATGCGACTAAATTTGCTTTTGAGCCTATCATAACGCACAAGAGAAATTGTCAATTTTCTTTCTCAGGTATGTTAAACAAATGTTTGTATTATATTAGCAAACAAGAAAAGGAATTTGAAATTGATGGCAGCACAGTAATTCCTGATGCGTATAATCTCTGCGCTGCAGTGCAAATGTGTACTGTAAAGCACATATGCCACAGAACACAAAGAGCAATGGAATTTATTAGCAATTTGAACTTGATATCGCAAGAAAAACGAACTTTGGTATGTTAGTAAAATCACTTATATCAATTTCTGATTTTCTATATATTTATTTTAATTATTTAATATATTTAATTATATATATTTAAATGCAGGTAATATCTGGTGGAGTAGCATGCAACAATTTCTTAGCAAAAGCTTTAGAAATTGTTTGTTCGGAAAAGGGTTTTAAATTCGTTAGAACTCCACCCCGATTATGTAACGACAATGGTGTAATGATAGCATGGAACGGCGCGGAAAGATGGATGGCGAATATAGGTGTTATTCGAGATAGGAATGAAATTGAAATGGTAACTGTCGAGAAAAAGGCACCACTCGGAGAAAGTTGGATCGAAAGAGTGCAAGATGCGAATATAAAATGTAAATTAGTAAAATTAAAGGAGCTTTGAGATTAAGCATCAATTGATACTCAATTTTAATCTCTCATTTGGACCTCTGTATTCTTGAACAATTAACAAACGGTCTTGTAAAAAGAAAAAAAAAGATTTGACGTAGAATAGAAATTATTTCGCGTTTTAAAATTCCACTTTTGTAAAATCGATATCTTAGCACACTTTTGACGAAACGAATTAACAATAGAATCAGTTCAATTATTTTATACAACATATTTATTTTTGTATGTTATATACAAATTTATATGACAGTCGGTGTATGTTGTTTGGTTTGTTGCTTTATCCTATCTATCAGCTGAAGACCTAAGGAATCACCATACTGAATTATATGTTGTCGTTCTTGATATTTATCTAGGGTACTTCGTATCCTCTCTTTAATTTTTTCTATCTGTTTTTTATCTTTTGAGATTAAAGACACAGGTAAAATATTGTCGATTTGTATAATTTGCTCAGGCCGTATTTCCTCTGGACATGTAGCCACATAGTCGGATAAATCGTGCAGTGCCGGCTTAATTTCTTTGAGGATATTATCAGCATTGTCAGTATCCATTTTATTGATTATAACTATAGTTGGCATTTTTAATAGGTCTGGCTTGTAAAGTTCGATCTCCTTATTTAATAAGACTAAAGTTTCTAAACAGGATCTGCGGGTATATTTGGGAGATAATTGAAAACCTTGTATGTCTATAATGAATAGAAGTAGTTTTGTTCTTTCGATATGCTTCAAGAATTTATGACCCATTCCAACATTCATATGTGCACCCTCAATCAGACCTGGTAAATCTGCAACAGTGATTTGCCTTTCATCTTCATACTTCATAATCCCCAATCTGGGCCTTATAGTAGTAACTGTAACAAAATATGCAACAAAAAATCTGATCCCAAATATCAATAAAAGAACAGGTTTCTTGAAAATAATGTAATGACACTGAAAAAAATAATTAATAGAATTATGCAGAAATGAGATCTTACAGGGATAATCGGCAATTTTAGGTTTAGTTCTTGAAACTGCTGCCAAAAATGTGCTCTTGCCAGCATTGGGAAAACCGACCAGCCCGACATCAGCGATTAGTTTCATATCTAGTTTTATTGTCTGAGATTCTCCCTTTAATCCACAGTAACCTGTCTCTTCACAACCACCATTTCCACCTTTTGCTACCAGTAATTTCATCTTTTCCTTATTTAATTCTCCTAATGTTTAATCATGAAAAAAATGAGAAAATAAGCGACAAATATATAAAATGAACATAATACTTGAAAAATTAAATTTACCTAATATTACTCCATTCTGATTGTATATCGTAATGCCACATGGAACTGAAATAATCTTGTCTTCACCAGGTGCACCTATAATTCCTTTGGCTGAACTATCACCTCCCGCATCTGCTTTGATTCGTTTGGTCTTCAACTTCTTGATAACGTCCTGCAAGTTCAACTTATCTTTCGTAACCACGTACACGTTACCTCCTGCACCTCCGATTCCACCGTAACGAGGTAAACCGGCACCTCCTGTACCTCCCCTGACTAGAAGACGTAACGAATCGATGAATCTCGTGCGAAGATATTTTCTGGGTAACTGCGAACACGTAATGTTTCTTTTAGAAATACATGACACTTGCTATAAATATAACATCCTATAATTTAACAAAAAATATCCACTTTACCTTTTTAACCTGATATAAAATCTGTGTCAACAGTACCATTATAATAAGTATTATAAGTTACGTGATTCTAAAATTTTTTATTTGTTTCTTTTTACGTTTGTATACTCGCGTATCTTTCGATTTATTTAATTTTCTTTAATCATTAATAACATACTCGTGTAACGTGTCATTTTACAAAGGTTAGGAGTTGTTGTGCAAGTATTTATACAAAACATGCTAATTTATCGACCGAGATTATCGATCGAAATTCATCGATAAGTTCACAAGATGTAACTTCTAGATGGCATCTTAGTCTTCATTTCCGCCATTTTGCTTAGTGAAACTTTAGAAAGTGCGGGTCAATTTTTCTGGGAGCGTCTTTATTTCGATATTCAGAAAAGAATATTTGTTAAAGATATAGTCAGACGCAATGGATTTCTTTCCTGGCTGGTCCAAATCCCTCTTGGGTAGCTGAGATTGGAAAACTATTCCTACATTAATGGATATTTATTAAAGGTATTTGCTAATATTTTCTCATTTAATTTTTGAATAATGTCCATCCCAACAAAGATGATTTTTTCTTCTCTTTCTGTTTTTCATTTTTTTTTCTTGTAATAGAATGTTTATTTTATGTATGTTTTATGAATGTATATGTATTGTTATTTAATATATATAATGTGTGCATTGTTATTTAATATGTATATGTTTAATATATAATTTATAATGATCTATCTATATCTATAATTTATAATGATCTAATAAATGATAAAATCGGCAGTACAAATAATCTTGATTAAAGATAGAATTTATGAGTCTGATTATGTAGCCTCTTAGAAGCATTTTCTATACATATTAGATATAACTTATTTATACTCAGATATAACTTATTTATTATTTAGTCTAAATGAAATCATGTGATGCTGAAATAGACGCGAAAAAAGTTTCAGCACTCATATGTCACGACATAAATATTCTATTGACGCAATCATAATATATATATAAATCGCATTATATTTTATTTTTTGTCAAAACATTGATATGATTTCTTTTTAAAGATATTATACAGTATCGAAAAAAATTGTAATATAAATTAGAAATATAAAAAATAAATATAAGAAATATAAAAGGATGTAGAGGAAAATCTGAGAGAATATTTAAGTCAATTCGAGATAGAAATGATAAAATAGTATAATAAATATGAAAATGACGAGAGAGCAAAGTAACAAAATTTTTCTTCAACAAACATACACATGTAATATTAAAAAATTATTTTGTTTATGTAAGCTGCACATAGTATGCGTCGTTGCCTAGTTAAGTTAGCTAAAGTCAACTGAAGTGTTTGACTCTCTGACACTTTATTTCTTCTACTGTATGCCTCTAGAAAAATATAGATGCATCCAAGGAGTTTGCAGTTCTCCAGGAGCCGATGGATGCGCGATACGATATCCTGGGGTCAAGTGATATCAATTACGAGGATTTCGCTGCGGATCAATTGGCGGCATCGCCAAGGAGGCGGGGTAAGAGTGGCCGTCTCTCTCTCTTCCCGGAGGCTCGTCTAAACGACAAAGCTGTATACGCGAAGCGTTAAAATTAAATTTAGCCAGAGGCCGTCGACTACGTCGTCGTCTACGACGGCGACGTTGCGGCGAGTTGGCGCGTCCTCTAGCTCAGTCTCAAGAGCACACCCCGTCTGCACGGATGCGTCCCGATTGCTAATCGATCTAGCATCCCCCGTCGCGACTGTTTCTCTTTTTCTCTCTTTATCTCGCGAAGCATCCGACTACCGAATCCCGGTAGTCTCCATCAATCGTCCGAGGATCCCTCGCGAGACGTCGGATTTTACTCGAGTCTCTTGATCACCTTCACCTGAGATCTTCGTCGAGGTAATCTTTCGCCGAGATCCAAGTTTATGATTGTCTCTAAAGCAGAATCTAAAGGATTATCGCTTGTGTGATGCGCTACAATTTCATTATCGTTTCACTTAATTGTGCTTACTTTAATCGTGGAGCTTTATTTTTCCATTTATGCTTAAAGCATGACATTGTCTTTCTTCGTCAACATTATGTCATACGCATGGATATTCATAAAGAATACTTAAGCGAAAAGCCATCGTCTGTAGGATTAGTGCGCTTTATAGATGCTGTATAGAATTTAAACGCTAATATCATTGTTTGTCGTTCACAACTAGATCCGCTCGAGAAAACCTGCTCGACCACGTAATCATCGAAGAACGTGTACAATAATTTCCAACGTTCTCTCGTCCAAGGTTCGAATTTCATGACATTTTACCGTATATCTTGTGCATAATTATATCATAACTCTTTATTTATGGATCAGACTTGTGTTAGAGATAAAAAATATTCTTTAACAATATTTTTTTTGTAAAAAATTTAATTACGCGCATGAAAGTGACGGCAATATTTGCAAAGTCGATCTGGCGAAACAATCGCCAGGTTTTTCATCGCCTGATCATTCCTGAATGATCGTGGCATAAGAAGAGAAGCACGCGGGTGCGAGGAGTGTGTGTCATCGGGTTACTAGCCTTGATCACCGGCCAAATACTTGACAGGGAAAGCGTACCGTTGTCGTTGCTACTCGTGCTAATTTTACGTACGACGCAGAAAATACGAAAATTGACAGTAATGGAAGGGAGAGGATCCTCGTGACAATATCACGAGTTCGTTTTTTCGAGTATTTTTAATCACACGGATTTGCTTATCGAAAAATATTGTCAATATTAACAGTCACATACGTAAACTTTTAGAGATACATTTGTATACAGATGTATGCGAATTTATCATTGTATTTTTTATTTTTTTTATACATGTTCATGATTTTTTCACACATACATAGAAAAAAATGAAAATTAGAATCTAATATAGAGAATTTTTTATATATAAAATACATACATAAAAATAAAATATATACGCACAATTTTTATATATGTATTTTATATGTAAACAAAACTCTATTTCAATATTCTGTTTTTAATATTAAATATATAATTAAATTTATAAAAAAAATAAAAAATATATATATAGACAATCTTCAATAATTATATGATTTCATCTATCATTTGTATTCCCGACAGATGGAACGAGAGGACGAGGATTTTGGCGAGGGCTACATCGCGGAGTCGCATCCTCTGAGGCCTACGCATCTCACGGTACCGCTCGGCGGACGTTCCGATTCTCGTGCACCCAGTATCAGCAGTAGCGTCAGCGATCTCGATGTTCCGATATACACCAGGGAAACCACTATACCGCTCTCAGCGAGAAAGGTAAAGCTTTTGTTGCGATACATTCGTCAAATGGGCGGAGAGTTAGTTCTTTTGCGTGAGATTAAACACACGCTTCTCGCGCTCCGTAATCAAACATTATGCAAATTAAATGACGTAAAAAAATCGTGAAATCTGTTACGATAAAACGTCGGTACTGACACGAATTTAATTTTACATAAGTGAAGATATCATTACTTAAATTATAACTCTCGTAATTACGATATTCTCTCTCTCAGAAACTAGCGCGTTTAGATCCTTATTAGGATTCAATTTTAGTTATAACAGAAATGTAGCACACATATACATACACACACATTAGAAAATAACATTATTTCATGATATATATGTGGATATACCTATTGCAAAATATTTTCTTGTTTTCTGAAAAAACAAGGATATTCGAAATAGTTGAAGTAAGAACTGCTTATGCAAGAGTGAAAATTTGGAAACGCTATCTAATCAGAAAATATATAATCGTCGTATCAAAGTATGTTGCAGAAAGACGCTTGTATAGTTTTAAGCGCCAGGCAACATAAATACATACATATTTTACGTAGAGCGCCGAACCGAGAATTAGGAATGAATGTACCTATATCGAAAAACATTAGCGTTAGCGGAAAACATCCTATTTTTAAGACAATGTTGAAATCGCGGTTATTCGAGACCAAGTGGGCGGACATCTCTCGCTCACGCGCGCGCATTTCGTAGACGCTGTAGATACGGTGGAAGACCCATGTCGGTTTAATTTTCTTTAGCAGATGGTGTTTCTTATGTTCACGAAACACGTGTAATACATAACACGCAAGTATAACATTAGTAAGCATTTATAGCACGTTACTTTAACGCTTAACATTAAAACATCAGTGGCATTTCCCTCTTGCATGAATATTATCTCTGACAATAAGTTTAAGAACATTCGTGTCATTCTTTTGCCTCATTATTGATTATCTCTGCGCAATTTATCACGACTTAGATTATCAGAGAAACATTTTATATCTGTACATTTTTTAGGGAGAGATCAATTATAAAAAATATTAGCATGAGCGCGACGAAATTGTTTTTTTCAAACAAGTAACATCGCGACTTCTCGTGACTACACTCTGTCATCGAGAAAACATCCGTTAAACATTGTCAATTGTTTTAATTGATGTGTAAACAGTCGTTCGCGTACATTGTGCTCAGGAATTTTCCCGGAGTACAAGCGTCAAGATGAGATTATCACGTCAGACTCTTGGCAAGGATTCGCATGCATCACGCGCAATAATTCTTTGCCGTGTGAAATTAATTCCTGCTCACATTTTTCTCTTGTTTTTCTTCATATTTGTTAACATAATTGTCATTTAACACTCATGTAATTATTAAGAAATTTTGCCATTTTTTTCATTTCGAGTTTTGCGATTTTAACAATTCTCGCCTGGTTCCAGATCCTCATCGTTCGACGAGGATCTAAATGAATGATCTCAATTCGAATTGCATTTACGCGTACATACTATTTTAACTTTCTCGTTCTTCGACAGAGGAGATTGCGCGATTAACCTCGAGAAATGAGACTGCAGTTAAGCACGTCTACGAATCGTGTCACCAATATTGTTGCCTTCTCTAACGCATCATCTTACGTCATAGTCAATCCAATCCCAGCAACTGCGACCAATAATTTTGTAATATTCCCATTGCAATCATTGGCGTAAATAAACATATCGGACACATTCGCGACTACTGAAAAATTTGATAGACTGCCTTCTCCTTCAAGATGTTCTCTAGGCTTTGGATTATTTCTATTATTGCAATCCTGTCGAATAACGTAAGCAATATAAAAAATTAGTTCAACAGATTGTCTCTCAGCGTGCGCACATGACAAGTTTATTCTTTTCTTCTCATCTCTTTCTATGATATTATTTTATTTTTTTATTCCAACTTTTTATCCTTCTTTTTTTTTCTTTTTCCATCTTTCTATCGAGTTACGCCAGTGAATGCAACGAGACACAGTCGACGAAGTTTGTCGAGTAATGACGCAATACACGAGGCGTGTTGGCGTTTCTTGTATTCGCGCGCATTTGACCCGAGTTTAATGGAATTCAAAGCATTCGATTAATATATGCTCGCGGCTGATTAAGCGATGCGTATCTCTCGGCAGATACGACATTGACGCTCGATAAAATTTCCGCGCTAATCGCGCGCGAAGGTTACTATTGCCGTTTTCTCGTTCGTATCCATATATATGTGTATGCAATTTGACAATAATAGTCCCGCAAATTCGCAGTATCACGCGACGATTATTTATTCGCGCGTGCCACGCTGCGTTCGTCTCAACAGGTGGATTCTCGCGGGCTTGCGATGACGTAAGCGAACGTATCAAGACTGAAAAGTTTCCAGGAATTTGTTAAAATATAGCCGATTGTTATACAATCAATATTTTAAAGTCTTTTTCTTTTTTTTTTTTTAACTATTTTACAGAGATCTCTGATTTTCGCGCGTATTTTTGTTTCACTGCATTAGCAGTTGCATCACTTATTGTCATTTAACTCGAGACAGAGAAACATAAAGTTGCAAATGATTCATCAAAAGATTAGAATGCACCTTCGTTCTTGGACGGAGAACGCTCCGTCATCGAGGCATCTTATTGGCTGATTCGGTGGGTGTGCGCGGAGGCACGTAATCATCCGTCTCCTGTCTCTCTTTCCGGCATGAGAAAGGAAATCGTCTTGCCTTATCTGACGAAAACTGCTCCGAGACATCTCTCTACAACTGAACCGAGATATTAGTCTATTTACGCGTGCGCGGGTTCGTGTAAAAATAGAAAATTATTACGTGCTCGTCGGCGAAGTACACGGAAATAAAGATAGCACACGATTGGCTCTTTTCGGTAGGCGTATGCGACATTTTCTTGCATAATTTTAAAAAAATTTATATGCATATATATATTTCAGCTTTTTCTTGAAAAAAAAGAGATGGGAAACTATATTGCACAAAAAATGCAAAATAAATAAATGTATAATAATAGATTTCGTAGGTCTGTCACTTTAATTTAATTCTTTCCTCGCATTTTCTACGACATTAATATTAGATATTTAAATTCTAATTATTTCTAATTATTTCTATTTATCTTAACAATTTCAATTATCTTGGAAATTAAGATAACTTCTTGATATCACGAGTTTATTAAAAATTACACGCACGTCTCTCAGATATCGCATATAATTATGAAGATTTTAATTATGCATTAATGTATTATCGTCTCTTATCGTGTTATCGATTACGATTTCCATTTATTTTCATTCATTCAACGCGACAGATTGGAAGTGATAAAGAGATTATTCGGTAGATATATCGAGCATCGACGTCAATGAAGTAGTAAATGTAATAAATTATCAACTGCGAATATAATTTTATTGGATAGAGAGCGAAGTGAAGAAGAAAATAGGAAGACACGTGCAATCAATCTTTAAAACATTTTGTATTTTTTCGAAAAAAAGAGAGATACATAATTAATTTATTAAATTAATTTATTAAACACAATTAATTTATTAAGCAAACAAAACAATCTGTTTAGAATATGTCTTCATAGCTTGATTTTATTTTTCGCGAGACGATTTTGATGAAATGTCACGATGCATTGCGTGTAATCGGTTTATTCGCAATCACGCGGCTAGGACTTGAGAAAGGGCGTGTAATTTTTTCCCCAAGTGTCGCGCCAACCGCAACATCCTAACAAGATGAATGTGCAGTTACATTTTAGTTTAGTCAATGCAATGATATCGCATTTGTGGCCGTATGCCAGCTCTCACCATTCCGCAGACGCTTGACGTCACTGGATGCTGGCGCGATGTGAATCTTGTCACATAGGACGAGAGGTGCGCGCGTCTCATTTTTATTCCCTCTATATATTTCCTCAAATTGGAAATACGAGTAATATCTTATATCGTCAAGAACGCAATTTATGTCTTCCCAGAGAGATTCAGCAGCGGAACAGCCGCTTCCGTTTATGTTTGATCTGTCTCTTATCAGCGAATATTGATAAACCATTACTTATGTAACTCCCTTATTCGCAATTATCAAAGAAATCTTTTTCGGTTCTCAATATGCAAATTTCTATCCAAACTGGCCCGTCGAAAGAGAAACATTTCGTGTTACAAATTTCTACATCTTTATTTTTTATTACTTCATATTTAATATAACGCTTTTTTAAAAAAAAGTCTATCTAGAAGTATTATACGAATGTTTTTAAGCAATTTGGAATCAAGCCAATTTTTAATATTTAAAAGGAAGGGAAGGGGGAAGAAAATTAAAGGAAAAATGCAATAAACATTTCTTCTCGTTCATTAGAAAATTCGATTAGAAAATTTTCCTCAACAGCATCTCGTAGTTATACCTTTCAAAATAATCAGTCATCCCGCCGTTTTCTACGTCATTATTTTAACGATCGGTCCAAAATCCAGTGAATGACGCAATTCTCGATTCACTCGGCGCGCGCGGGAAGCTCTTTTCCGTTGGGCACAAGAGGGGTTGCATAAGGGGATAAAATATTTGTGCGCTTGCGCCGTGAGGTCGGTCGACGCGCCAGCTGCGCCAACCCCTATCCGTTGGAGGGTATTAAGGCGCACGAGGATCGAATCGAGCGCTCAGAATAGACGAATCCCACCCGTCTCTCACCTGCGTCTGGAAAGGTGAGTTCCCACATATTTCTATGCGTGGTTTTCTGTCAAAAAACGAGCCGGGAACAACGACTGCACATGGATCGCGGATTTCGTTACATCTTGGACGCACGTGTTAATATTTTTCAAAGAATACTTCCAACCTTTCGAGGGTCGAATTACGTTCGTCACGGTTACTACAATGGTCGAGGTTGACCTTATCCGTTCCAGTTTAGTAGAATTCGAGTCATTGCTTCGTAGTTTCGGGTCAAATGAAACTCGGGATGCTTGAGATCCTTTACACTCGTTCACATATCCTTGTATGTGCTCGCGTTAGAAAAATGTAGGAATTTAGGACTCGAATTTTCA